CCCCAAAACCCCAAAACCCCAAAACCCCTCTATATCTTGAAGAAATTGAAATAGAATTATATTTTCAACATTATAATTTCTTTAGACTGATAAATCCTTCTGCTTTGGCAATTCCATCAAAGATAACCGAAACTCTTGCTCTATCAGGAAGAGATATATAATCTGTGTGAGTGAGACCAGTTATATTTCCAGCAGAATGAGTGCCCAAATCTTTGATTTTTGTTGAATTATGTCTCTCGATAGTATCAGAGTCTTTAAACAAAGTAAAAATACCCTCACCATTTACCTGAACTTGAACATTAGGATTCTTCTTAGAAAATATTCCCATACACAGTTCATAAAGTCCGGGTGAAATGCAGATAATGCTTGTGCTATTTTTCCCATATGAAATTATCAGGACAGGTATTTACTCATTGGACCTCCCATGGAATTAATCAGGAAGCTTTCAGCTCTCCTGATTTCCAAACCCATCTTCCAAGACAGTTCTCTGAGCATAGAGCTTCATTAATAAGAGCTTGCTCATCAAAAGAAGCTTTGACATCTTGTGCTGAGACTTTTTCTTGGATATCTCTGGTAATGTTCTGGAAGATTCTTCCCATCTCTTCTCTGCTTGCTTTCTCTTCATCAAGTTTTAACAAATCCTTAGCTTGAGCCTTTTGAAAAATTTCTTTAGTCATATCTTCAATAGATGATCTTGTTGAGTCTATATGAAGCTGAAGTTCTTTTGAATTAATCTTCATGTCAACTTCCCTGATAATTCTGTCAATGATACTCTTTAATGTCTCAATATCACCCTTGTCAGATTTTTGACCAAGCAACTGTTTGAAATAATGAGTGTCAACTTTACAGCTCAACATTTCGTTTACTTCATCGACATTTCACTTGTGAGAAAGTTCAGTCTTGAGCGAATCCTGAAGGTGAGTCAAACTATTCTGAAGCTCAATTTTTGTATTCATTAGTCTATTTACAAGATTAGTATTAAGGTTATTCACAGTTTTCTGAGTCTCTACTTCATTCGCCTTAGAATCCAGCATCTGTTCAAGATCATTTTTAATCTCCTTCAAATCAGACTTTTTAGCTTTCTTTGCTAATTCTTTATCTACTTTAGCCTTAAATGTATGAAGCTCATTGATAGCTTTACTTGTCTCATCTTTTAATCTGGAAGATATCCCTTCTGCCTCATATTGGATTATTTCCTTAACCTCAGAGTGAATTGATGTATTCTCTTTAGTAATCTTTTTGTTTGAGTCTTTAACAGATTTGAGATCCTTCTTGTATTTCTCAATTGCAACATCATGTTTGTTGAACCGGTCATATATTTCTTCGTAAATATCTTTTCTTTGAGTGGCAAATTCATCTTTGAGTTTCCTAAGTTTCTCGAAGACAGCATCTTTGGTGTCGCCTACCATCTCAGCAACGCTTTCTATATCAGCTTTGTTGGAGATATTGTTGCCAATACCTTCGAGATCTCTGAAGTCAGCTTTCTTTGTCAACCCAGAGGTGAAGTTATCAATAACTGTCTTGAGCTCATTATCTATCTTTTGGATGTGAGACTTCATTTTTAATTCAAGGTTCTCGATTTTAGCAGTATTAAGATCTTTCTCCCTCTGAAGTGTGCTGAGTAATGACTTGTTCACATTCTCTTTATCTGGAGAACTCAATGTGTTCATCATCTCTCTGAGATCATTTCTGTCAGTCTTGGCTTCTATCATATCTTGGAGATGGTGCAGGTCAGCTATATTGGCCTTTTCGTTGAGCTGGTCAACAATCCGATCGATATCAGATGGATTTATTTGGTCAACAAGGATCTTCTCGATTTCCTTTTTATTTGCTTTTTGATGCAAAGCTTCAGCAACAGTTATTTTATTAGCTTTAGTGTTTAACAGTTCATTTATGTTATCAATATCAGCTTTGTTCGAAAGTTGCGATTTCTGCTTGCTTAAAGCCTTGTCAAATTCAGCCAGTTTATTCTTAATTTCTTCATATATCTCTCTCACTTCAGTTTGTATCTCTTCAACTTGATGAGCATATTCTGACTGGCTTCGCTTGGACCCTAAATTTGAAGATCAAAAATTACCATGAGAACTAAGACCTGGATTGAGTTTAGATTCGATAAATTTATTGACCTGATGAATACTAGCTTTCGACTCGATATCATCACTTATGTCAGCAACTGTCTGCTTGAAGTCTTGAAGGTTTACCTTTGTATTGAGCAAACTATTCAGATCAACTTTATTTGCTTTCATAATCAGAGCATTACCCATTTCTTGAAGAGTATCAGAATGAGAGCCGAGAACTTTGTAGAAAGCAGTCATTGTTAGTTTGAGTATTTCTGGAACACTTGTCCACTCACCTTCTGACATAAGTAGTTCATTAATCATTGAGACTGAGTTTGGATCGTTATCTAATTCAGATGCCTCTCCTCTAGCATATGAACCCTGAATGTGCATATTTTGAGGACTAAATCCTGATTTTTGTTTGCTCCCTCCATACATTTCAAATTATTTATTCAAAAATTACAAAATTTATTGGGGTTTTGGGGTTTTGGGGTTTTGGGGTTTTGGGG